CACCTGATGCGAAGAGCTGAATCATTTGAAAAGACCCTGATGATGGGAAAGATTGAGGGCAGGAGGAGAAGGGGATGACAGAGGATGAGATGGCTGGATGGCATCACCGACCCAAATGGACATGAGTTTGGGTAAACTCCGGGAGTTGGTGATGGACAGGGAGGCCTGGCATGCTACAGTCCATGGGGTCACAAAGAGTCAGACACGACTGAGCGACTGAACTGAACTGAACTGATAAGTCATGTGCCTTGCTCAGAGAGTCCAACTGGAAAAGGGGTAAACTTTTTTCTCATTCATATAAAGGGGACAATACTGGAAGACTTTTTCCTTTCAGTGAGAATACCTTTTCTAATTTGCACAAAGGCACAATATGAACTAGCTGTGACTCTAGTCCTAAGGTAGAAACTAGATTTCATTAGGAGAAGTTTAGAGAAAATGATATTTCAGCTTAATGAAAGAAAATGATACAGTAATATAGTAAATGGAAACTCATTTTTTGAAGAGTAGTTGTCTCCCAAATTAAATGTTCAAGCAATAGCTAGAAAACTACTTGACAGGGTTATTTTCATTTATTTTTTTTCCATTTATTTTTATTAGTTGAAGGCTAATTACAATATTGTAGTGGTTTTTGTCATACATTGACATGAATCAGCCATGGATTTACATGTGTTCCCCATTCCTTAACCCACCTCCCACCTCCCTCCCCATCCCATTCCTCTGGGTCATCCCAGTGCACCAGCCCCAAGCACTTGTCTCATGCATCCAACCTGGACTGGCGATCTGTTTCACACTTGATAATATACATGTTTGGATGCTGTTCTCTCAGATTATCCCGCCCTCGCCTTCTCCCATAGAGTCCAAAAGTCTGTTCTATATATCTGTGTCTCTTTTTCTGTCTTGCATATAGGGTTATCACATTTATTTATTTTTAAAAATATTTATTTGGTTGCTCATGGTCTTTAGTTGTAGCATACGGGATCTAGTTCCTGACCAGGGACCAAAACCTGCACTGGGAGCATGGAGTCTTAGCTCCTGGACCACCAGGAAAGTCTGACAGCATTATTTCACAGGGTTTCAAAGCAGGGGAGTATGTGAATGTTTATTACCAGGAAGATGGCAAAACTCAATCATTATTTACTTCTAGGATTCTACATTTGAACTACCATTTTCTCCATATCCTAGTTGATTCCTAAGGAATCCATATTCCTTCTCTTCACAAATTTACCATATATTCTAGCCTTCATCTTACCTAACCAAATTCTTTTTCCTGTTTCCGTTTCCTTTCCTTCCCCTGCCCTGACATGTAGAAAGCATACACATGGCATCAAAACTAAAAATAAACTGCATTTTTAAAGATTGCTTTCTTTCAAAAACACTATTTAAAATAAACATGAAGGGAATTCCCTGGCAGTCCACAGGTTAGGACTCTAAGCTTCTACTACAAACCAAGGTGTCTTGGTTCAAGCCCTGGTCAGGCTACCAAGAGCCTGCAAGCTGTGTAGCATAGCCAAATAAATAAATAAATAATGGGATGAAAACTAAAATTCTCTGAACGTATTACTGGAGAAAGCTAAGTTCCATGTTTAAGTGATTTACATATCAATCACAAGAAGTTATGAGTTCTTTTTGTAACAGAAGGAGTGTTGCAATTGTCTGGTGGTCCAGTGGTTAGGACTCTGAGTTTCCAATGCCAGGGGCCCAGATTTGATCCTTGGTTGGGGAACTAAGATCCCACAAGCCTCATGAGGTGGCCAAAGTGGGGGGGAAATGGAAGGTCAATTTTTATTTGTTCAGTGATTATTGAATGCCTGATACTGTATTAAGTAAGGATCTGGTCTCATTACTTCATGCATATAGATGAGGAAACAATGGAAACAGTGAAAAGACTTTATTTTCTTGGGCTCCAAAACCAATGCAGATGGTGACTGCAGCCATGAAATTAAAAGACACTTGCTCCTTGGAAGAAAAACTATGACAAACCTAGACAGCACAGTAAAAAGCAGAGACATCACTTTACCAACAAAGGTCCATATAGTCAAAGCTATGATTTTTCCAGTAGTCTTGTATGGATGTGAGAGCTGGACCATAAAGACAGCTAAGTGCCAAAGAACTGAGGCTTTTAAACTGTGGTGTTGGAGAAGACTCTTGAGAGTTCCTTGGACAGCAAGGAGATCAAGCCAGTCAATCCTAAAGGAAATCAACCCTAAATAGTCACTGGAAGGACTGATGCTGAAGCTGAAGCTCCAATACTTTGGCCACCTGATGCAAAGAGCCAACTCTTTGGAAAAGACCCTGATGCTGGGAAAGATAGAAGGCAGGAGGAGAAGGGGACGACAGAGGATGAGATGGTTGGATAGCATTACCGACTCAATAGACATGAGTTTGAGCAAGCTCCAGGAGATGGTGAAGGACAGGGAAGCCTGGCATGCTGCAGTCCACGGAGTTTCGATGAGTCGGACACAAATGAGGGACTGAACAACAACAAATACGTGGTAAGTATTAAGGAGCAGAGCCAACCACAGGCATAATCTTACAGGAAGCTGAGTTAACCTCTACGACTTGTCTTTAAGTCCTGGTTTCTCCCTTTCTGTATCTGTAGTACCAGAACCTTGGCCCTCATTAGGCCAGGGTTTATCCCTTCTGCACCTGATCCCGGACATTTTTAACTGAGTTATACCTTACAGTTTTGTATAATTTCTTCTAAGAGATTAGTCTTTAAAGAAAACATCAGTGTTTTAAAAGAAGCCTTCAGTAACCCTACCCAAATAAGTAACTAATGGGAGAAAGTGTCCTGTGATGGGACAAAGAGGCAAAGCTGTGTGTTTATGTGCCTTTTCTAAGTAGAGTCAGGCTTGCTTTTCAAGAAGAGATAAGAGAACAGAGAAAAAATCTAGGTACCTGAAGCTGCCTAACCAAACAGTAATTTCCATTTTTGAACAAATATCTAATTGAGAAGACACAACCAAATGCCAATAAAGGGTTCAATGACCCAATTATCAATACTCTGAAATGCCTCAAGCAATACTTATATAAAAAGTTTATAAGAGTATTATACCGAAATGACCTCACAAGACAGCTTTTTTTTTCTTTTGGCATGCAGCATGGCTTGTGGGACCTTAGGTCCTTACAAGGGATTGAACCAGAGCCCTCCACAGTGAAAACGCTGAGTCCCAACCACTGAACCACCTGGGAATTCCCCTATAAGATAGCTTTTAAAGACTTTTAAGAAATCAAACTATTTGTAGAATGAATTAACAAGTGCTTTGAGTTAGAAACTTTAAAAATTTTACTTATTTATGCACTTATTTTCAGCTGGGTCTTGCTCTACTTGGGCTTTCTCTAGTTGCAGAGAGCAGGGGCTACTTTCTAGTTGTGGTGCTCCAGCTTCTCACTGAGATGCTTCCTTTGTTGCAGAGCGCTGGCTCTAGAGCATGTAGGCTACAGTAGCTTTGCCACACAGGCATAGTTGCTCCACAGCATGTAGGATCTTCCTAGATCAGGGATCGAACCCGTGGCCCCTGCACTGGCAGGTGGATTCTTAACCACTGGACCACCAGGGAAGTTCCTGAAACAATTTTTTTTTAAAATATCTATTCATTTGGCTGTGCCAGCTCTTAATTGCTGTATGTAGGATCTTTAGTTGTGGTATGTGGGATCTAGTTCCCTGATCAGGGATCAAACCTGTGACCCTGATTGGAAGTGTATTGGAAGTGCAGAATATTGGCCATTGGACCACCAGGGAAGTCCCTAGAAACATTTTAAAAAGTGCTTTTTGGTAAATATTTTAGGAAATACAAGAAATATCACCTTGTAAATGACAGTTTTATTTTGAGAAAGAAATAAAACAAAGGCTTTCTAATTTGAGAAAATTAGAAATGCTTTCTAGGAAAAGAAAATGGATTCTTCTCTTTCGTAGGGAAAAACTATCTTTCTTTTGCTTTGTAGATTAGTATTTCTCTTTTTTTTGAAGGAAGTTGGTGAGTCTTTAAAAACTCTGTATTTTTTTGTGTAATAAATGATTGATAAATATAATGAATAACTGAGCCTATATACTTATTCTTTTTAATATTATGTTTTTCCTAGCAGAATGCCTTGTATAGAAGCAAATATTTATTACTCATTGAAAAAACTGTCATTCCTGCTTCAGCTTCAAGCCACTGACATTTAATTTTCTAACGTCTTTCACAGAGAATATATGATTGCAAAATCTGCCCCAAACAAGTATTTTATAATCCTTCTTGTGCCCCACTGTTTTTCAATTTATCAACAGTGGTGCCTGCCTAAACTGTCAACCAGGGATTTTCATCATTTAATCAATATACCATACATTTGAAAGGAGTGCTTAAAAATTATTCCATAAACTCATGTCTTGTATAAGGGTAAAAAACCTACAGCTAGAAGCATTTATAGCAAGGCTAATAACTAAACAGCACAATCAACTTTGAAGGTGACTGGCTAATGTCAACATTAGATTGTGGAATCTGCTAACCCTGTCACCTAAAGAAAATAAAGCGAAAAATAAGGGCAAAGGTAAAGACTTGAGAAATTCTTTGGGAGAGAGAATCAAAATGTCAGACTATAAAGAAACTGCACTTGGAATGCAGGGTCCTAAGAGTATTCTTTAGCATGTATCTGAAAGTTTATGTATGGAAAATAAGAATGACAAACAATAATTTAATTCATTTACTACAAACCTCAGGAGCGTTTTGGCAAGAAGACAAGCATGACCAGGAGGAATAAAGGAAAAAAAAAAGGAATCATAAATAAATCACCTCTTTAATTATCCATTTGGATTGTCACTTTAGTGCCACTCTAGAGGCCATCAATGTGAAACAAATATTTTTCTCTTCTTGGAAGGAAGTTGCTTCTAAGGCTGCCAAAAGTTTAGCTGGATCAGGCCTCCTCTCTCTTTAATGAACTATGCCATTCTACACCATTTTCCCATATAATTTAAATACAGATTCCTAGAAATGCATCATTTTAACCAACAAGGTACTTACATTCACACTGTATGACATCTAGGTTAAACTGTTGAACGGCTCCCATGCTTATCTGTTTTAACTCACTGTCCAGTAGCATCTGCATTAAGGATGTTGACAGATGCTGGCAGGCTGACATGCAAGCAGTCTGGGCAACTTTCCCCTGTTTAACAAATATCCAAACCAAAAAATAAATAAACATAGAAACGTATCATATCATAAAGTATCACAAAAATTTTTCATGGCATTTTTTTTAGTGGTGGTCTTTCTCTTTCTGTATTCTGAGTGGCTGCCTTTTAGCATAGGAACTGAAAGTAACATTCTGTTGACTTGTCATTCTCATGATATAATCATCATTAAAGTTATAACTGTATGTAGAAAAATTAAAGTTTGTGTTTAAAATCTATTGATTATTTCATATCTCTTTAAATATCTCAAGTATTTTTAAAAAAGGACATTAAAATGTACCATTTGTGACATAAAATAACTGTCATGTTGATGGAACATTTATTCATATAATGCTCTTTAAACTTTCCTTTATGTAATTAACCAAGCCAAGAATTAAGTTACTAGTGTAATTTATTATAATTTAACTACACCTAATATACTTTATAACATATACTTTCATATGTATGTAATAAGTAAAATGTCTTTATAAAATATACTTTGAGTCATTAAGTTCTTACTTCTAATAGGAAGCTTAGTTTGGAGCATAGCTTCAATTAGGAGGAAAAAAAAGAAGCTTGCATACTGATATGATTTCACAGTCATCTACAGATCTGTTCATTTAGTTTTAAAAATTAAGTTTTAAAATCATCTGATAATTTAGAAATATAAAGTGAGCTACAAATACTTGTGGTTGTCTTTTAGTATAATATCATTATATTTTCTACTAAAATAAGCTCCTAAATCTCCACATGAATTTTGTCAGCCTTGATTCAGGCTATATTTTCTTTAAAATGATAAAAACAATTTAAAATGTCTAGCTTCTAGATTATATAGCTGAATCACAATATAATACTGCCTTTAGTATAAATTGTTCTTTCAAGCAGGCTTTTTATTTAACTACAGTTGGAAAAATATTACAAAAACTTTCAGATAAAGCTTTCCAGTGTAAATACCACCACTAGTATGGCTATCTCCAACCCACAATTATGTGATTTGGTGAAGGACTGACACCCATATGATTCAAAGATCTATGACTAAGGTTAGAAATAAGAACTTTTGGAGGATGTGCCATGTTTTGCCTTATTAGCATTAACAAATATTTACCCAGTGATATGTGATCATTATGCTTTTCTTACTTATCACAAAGGCCAATAAAGCTACAAAATCATGAAAATCTTCCAAACATAAATGCTATAATATATTGATGCAAAAATGTTTACATAGGATTGATCTGTTAGAAAATAAGGAACACAAATGTATTTTTAAGATGTTTACTTGAACAACTGTTCATTCAATTACACATTTAAAGTCAGACTGAAAACAAGCAATTTTTATGGATCCTTACGAATCTTTGATAAGTCTTTAGTATTTAGACACTATGCACAGTAAAAAAAAATTGTGCATCTGAAATGGAATGCCAATATCTAAATCAGAAACTTTAGAGATAAAAGCTGATGCAAACAATATATTTGACAAATACTGATGAACTGCCAAAAAGGAATGTAACAAACAATGCAAAACCCAGCATGCTTCAAGATCCCCAAATCAAGAAGAATTAGTCTAGGAGACATGCAGCTCCATTTCCCAAGCAGAATAATATCAATATGAAAGAGAAGCAGGAGGGGAGAGACAGAAAAAGAAGAAATCAATGGCATGTAATTTAATTACAATGTAGTAGGCTTGAAAAAACTTAATGGAAATGTCATTTTGACCTAATGGAACAACTAGCATGTTTTAGTTTTAATGTAACTTCTCCATCAAATCAGTTCCATGTCCTACTTATGTTGCCACTATAATGTACTAACTGCAAAAGCAGATTAATAAACTACCAAAAACAGTTACTACTACATTCATTTCATAAACAAACACACTGTGTAAAATTTTAACATGGGTTCGGATGCTACATATGACTATGCAGCAATAGTACTGGAGCCAAAATAATAGTACTAGTACAAAAATACAGGCTATTTCATAAACTTGGTGGATGTGGGTAATGAAAACATACAAGCATGCATGCGCGTGCACACACACACACACTCACACGTGTTTCTGTTTAAGTAACACATGCAATTTCCTTTGATTATGCATATTAAATACAGGCTTATTGTTCTCAAAGATAGAAGTTTAAAATGTTTATAAAATATTGAAATGAAAAATTCCTTTTTATAGCTCAAAATTGATATCAAAGGTTCAAATCCTTTAAACACTTATAGTCTATAAGATCAATTTTTTTTAATGTGTACTCTTTGACTATAAAATGTGAGCAAATATTCTTAAATTTTATCTATTACTTATTTTGAGACAGAAAATTTTAATATTCCAGAAACTTGCATATCCCCCAAACATTTCTGATGCCTGTAGACTTTGTCACACTTTTGTATAACCAAAACACTCCTTTCCGAACACTATTTTGCTATTATTGTTGATGCTTTTAATACTGTATCACCTTCTAGAACAAAAATAATCTAAGTACTTTTACAACTATCTTTAAAAACTGGCCATTTTCATTATAGATGTTCTGGTTTTTAACAATACAACAAACAAAGCCAAAATAATTAAATGAAGTGACTGAGAAAATATAGCACATTTAGTATCAAGCACCTAGAAATTTCTGCTCCTCTCATCTGAAAAGTTAACTGCAACTATTGCTAACATTCTCCTTTTCTTTAACATGAATTTCAATAAGTAAGTAAAAACACCTGCCAAGCTTTTAAAGGTAACTACTTCTTTACCCTGCTCTCACATTTTGCTGAAAAACAACTTGCACAGAGAGAAAACCCCTGGACAAACTTCTTGTATTTCAAAGGAACTTGTAAAAGAGAATCTGCTGACATATTAGATCCTTTTCGCATTACCCAAAAGCTTTTCTTCTAAGAACAATTGTGGTAAAGAGACATTTGGCTCCTAGGAAATTCCCAGAGGGTCAACCATATGCATCCTTCCATGGCACCTTCACACTGCTGCTTTCTAGATTCATGTCTCAAAAGCAGCTTTCATCATTTACTTGTGTGTCAGTCAATATGATTTATGGACTGCATTCAACAAAGTCAAAGCATATAGAATGAGAAATATGACTACAATCTGCTAATTTGTTTTGTATTGAGCCACTTAAGAGTCAAAGACCTGATGTCAGACTGAGTCCAGCAACACAATTATCCAGTCGGTGACAGATTCATCCATCCTCCCTGCCAGGCTGTGCCAATCAAAGACAGCATGAGGCGACATTTGGTGAAATCAGTAAGAAAACTCATTCTCTAAGCAACCTATGTGAGACCTTGATTGACACTTTTTGAATTTAGTTTGTGGAACACAGACAGTCTTTACCCAATAGTCCCTCACTGCAAGCTGTGAAATAGGGCTTTTAACGCCAATCACAGAAACAATAAACCACAAACCACCAACCCTCAGTTTAAAAGGAATCAAGAAAACACATCTGTTTGTATGTCAAGCCAAATTTCCAGAATAATTTACTATTATAGATTAGGTAAAGATACTCTGTTTCCTTTGAAACATCATAAAATGACATGGTAACAAAAATGTAACACATTTTATTAGATTATAACTCAAAACAGTTTTGGTTTCAAAGTAACACTTTGATAGATCTACTCTAATATAATAGTAGGAGAAATGTAGAATACTTAGAAACTAATTTGACACATTTAAATTTTCATTTGAAGTTCTCATTTCTTCTCACCATTCTCTTATTTCAAAGATCTAATAAAATAGGAAGGCTTGATTTCAATAATTATTTGAAAGCATTTTTCAATGTTGCTTTCATTCTCTCAAATACACTTTACATAAAAATGTGCTCTTGAAATCACAATCATTCTTTCTGTGTTGGTCTATTTTCCTTAAAGATCCCAGGAGAATCCATTTTCTTTTATTTATACCCCCATAAAAGATCAACTCTGCACAATAAGCTACTTTTTATTTAAGTCAAGAAAAATATAGACTCAGAAATATTATTCACTATATTTATTATTCTTTAAATTGATAACAGGTTTTGTTTTGAAAAGTTATGTAACTTGTCAGGAAAAACTTTAAAACTTGAATAAAATCATGGTCAATTTGAATATTAAATCTAACATTGGTAAGCAAATTTATTAACTCTGATTCTATATGACTTTTAAAGTTATTTAAATAAAAACAGCAAAATACTACTATAGTATTCAAACTTACTGCCTCTCAATTTGCAATGTGAATTTCAGTTATGAGATACAAAACAGCCTTTTCAGAGGGAAGACGAAAGAAGAAAGGAAATATTTTGATGAATCGGTCAGTCTCCTAAAGAACCACAATTTTTAGCCTTTTAAAACACATAGTCCAAAAGAGTGAGGTCTTTCATCAAATATGGAGTATCCAACACTAAAACCAGAAATTAATTCTTGTAGAAAAATGATGCCAAGTTGAAAAATAGACATCTTAATCTAAGAAATCTATTATAATTCTTTCTATTTTACATAAGATTCACTAATTTAAATTTCATTATATGAAACTACTTAAATGTACTTCTATGCAAACATAAAAATGTTATTCAATCTGGAAAAAACATACCTAAAACATGAAAATTTCCCCAAGATGACTTCACAAATACACAAAGATTCCATCATCTAGTAAGGTTTTAATCTATTTTCTGGCTGAACACATGGTATAATACTGAAATGTCTCTGATTCCCAATAATATAGAATGTATGTTTAAAGGTTTAAATATCAAGATGAATTTCTTTAGCAAGTTTTAAAAATAACTTTAATACAATCTTGAAAACAGTTTTGAGATTATGCCCCCAAAATTCATAGGTCTACCAAAATATACTTACTCTAATGTCCCTAACATTCTCCAAAATACCTCCTTTACATTTCTATATTCCTCTCATACTCTTCCTGTTTGCATTTAAGTAGCTCTAGTCCCCAAAGAACTGGTTATCACATCAGTTAACCACAATTCCAATAGTCAATTATGAATTCCCTTTCTCTTCTCTTAGGCTTTTCTTCTTT